AACATGTACCACCGGAATATTTAAACGAGCGGACTTAAACTGTGGACTAAAAGAACACATTGTGTGTCGCTACACTATCGCCGCAATACAAACGAACGGACTCATATAACATTGTTTTAAACACGGTAAACGGGAGTAACGTCTTCCAGTTTGCGCAATAAGCCAGCAGGCAACATATCCAAACTTTTCTTAGTAAATTGGTAAATATGGGTTCAGATCAGATTGGATCGTATACTAGCCTAATAGCGCTCTCCGCTTTATTTGTCTATCGCGATAACATGGTATATTCTTGCTTACTAATACGTAAATAATACCTGTTTATAATTTACTAAAAGGTGTATCAAAGATAGCTTTGTCGAATAACATTTTTATACTGTACTGCGGTAATACGTCTACAGTATTGTAATACTAATTAATAATTTGGAATAAAAATGTATATAATATAAATTATACTTAGTATTATTTCCTTGTTACGTGTATGACACAATAAAATAAATTACGATTAAGATCGTTTCTGCAGTCCTTTATAAAGCCATTTCTTAATTAAACGTTGATACAACAGAGACAAATTGTATGAGTAATAAGTTAGGTAAATTAGCGATAACAATAAATACAGGGCTAGTTAGAGTGTTACTTCCAATTGGATAATATAACCATTGTGTTGTACATTCTGTAATATTAGAAGTAATTTAATAGAATTGACGAAATAAATTAAAAAATGAGTATAAAATTGAGCAAAAGAATCGACTGTTAATAATTATTTTAATTAAGAATTATTCATAATCGAAAATGTAAGCTAAATTTATGATGACTTTAAATATAAAGGCTCTTATATCACACTACTAATTTACAAATTCAAGCAGAATGTGCAATAAATTATTTACTCGTACAGTATTTATCTTTTAATAAATTTGCTTCGGATTGTTTCCATAGCGAATTATAACAATAAATATTTATTCTGTACTGAATAATTTACTGATTATTGAAAATTAAGGCTGTTCTTCATATGATGTAACATTTACCAGAAATGTCCTTACTTAATGATCACTCCTTGCCAAATTATACTGTGCTTATATAAAGAATTGTTGATATTAATTAACAGATTAAAGAAGGATAAATAAATTACAATAATTATATTATAAAATTTTACGGAACATCTAAAAAAAGTCCTATTATAACATAAAATTTGAAAAGTAATTCTTCATTAGAAAATGTATAATAAAGCCGCTTTCACACGTCAAAAGTGTGTTTAAAGATGTGTCCACTCGATATCTGCGTACCGTTCGTGTTTCCTCACACCTAGAATTAGCTCTTTTCCACTTGAGAATCAACATGCTACCTCCCGAGAACACTACAATGGATAACGTAAATAAAAAAATTGTCTTGCCACGTTCATAGTGTACTCCATGAATGAAGTAACAAATCAGCGTTGTGGAGCATCGAATGTACAGTACTCGGACATGTAATCAACCAACGTGAAGAAAACCATATAAAAACCACGTGTTCAGCTCGTTGATGAGGCAGAGAGCCGCAATCAATGTGTTCAGTAGTGTTATTCAGTCAGCCACTTACCGACGATTTTTCGACAAACTAGTGAAAATTTTAACAAAAGATAATGCCGCAGACTTTTATAAAATGCAGCATTAACATTATTCTGGGTTCAGAATAATGAAAAGTCATTACCGAGCTATAAATAAGCACATTCTAGAACCGATTGTTTAAACTTGAATGCGTAAAGTTGTCCACTCACTTTAATGATGAACCACTTAAGAGGTTGTCTCCTTGCTTACTGTTCGGGTAGTAAAGAAAAAATTTAGAATACAGATAATTCTTAACTCCAACAACTCCATTTCTATTTTACAAGGTTTGGCAACTTCAAACAGCATAATAATCGTATAAGAGCAACCGAAAACGTGAATGGCTTATGGAAAATCTTTCAGAAGGTGTACTGTAAATGGAACTTTCGATACTTATCTACTTAAAAAACTATTTCTAGAAGAAAAAATCTGAAAAATAATTCGGAAAAGAGTGGAAAGCCCTATTACACACCAAACTGTAAAAAATATAAGTTTTATAAGTTTGGTGTACTTAAGTGAAAGATCTATTTAACTGTATGTACTGTACCTTTTGTATTTCTTCTATATTCTATTCTGTCTGTATTTCAATCAAATGATATTTTCTTTCCAGAAACACATTTAAATCGAACTTTTAAACAATGGTCAGTTTTAACCATTAAAATTACTATTGGTAACATGTAAATAATGTTCTCTACTCTCAAAATCGTGCACTGAAAATACTAATGCCTTGGAAATAATTATTGATTAATAATAACATGGTAATATGACTACTGAGATCTGAGATGGTTAAGAAAGTAATGTGTAAACATGATAAAGTTTCGATAAAACAGAATAGTTTGATGAGTTCGGAATGGGATGAGAAAATGGACAATTTGTAAAAGGAAAAACTTTCGGTGCGCTTTCTATGGGAAACACGTTGATTTTTAGTTGTTTTACACACGAATAACAGCAGAAAAATTGAACGTGGCCATCTCTTTAATAAGACACATACCTGAAAACCAATTACCAGTGTTCAGTACTTTCATCTACTCGACCACTGAAAATTTAATTGTCAGTTTCCGTTGTGTAATTAATTAGTAAATACTTTCAACTCTCTCCCCTGTGGGAATTAAAAGTAATTATTTTTGTTACGTGCACTATAGAATCGAAAGACCTACAATGGGATAGCCAAGCAGTGAGATAAAGGGAATCAACACATCCAAAAGAACTACAGTAGAGCGTCGTTTATCCGAATCAATTGGGGACTGGGGTGGTTCGGATAACTTATTTTTCGGATAACGAATCATATACGAAAAAATATATTAATTTATCTCATGTTGAAATTTCTCTCCGTTGCGTGTCGCTTCGCGTTGAATTTTCATCGATGTTAAGCCTAACGAAGACTATTGTATCGTTAAAAATTATTTTTTTATTTTCTACAAACAAAATAAATTTATTGAAAAATATAAAAACAATAAAAAATTATAGTCGGATGTTAATTTACTATCAAAAACATAAATCTTTGAGTAGCCCAAGACATGGCCAAAGATTGCAGCGCTACAGCACTAGCGAAAATTTAAATTTTCCGACTGGAATGCTTTCGGATAACGGACGTTTCGGATAACCAGCTTTCGGATAAATGACGCTCTACTGTATACTTAGAAAATTCTTCGACTTATTCGATCCGCACAGATTTAATATCAGATCCACAGAGTGGTAGACTGAGACTTAACTGTTGGGCAATCTGTCCATCAGAACAATAAATTTAGTTACATTTATTTTTCAGTTCACATCTTAACAACGGCCATTCTTTATGTATTAGTCAATGGCCGTTGGCCAAAAGTTTTACTACATAATTGAGAAAGTATTATCACGTGGCATCTAAATCAAAAGAGATTCAAAATGAATATTATAACTGAAATTATAAGTTTAAAATAACCAATGCTTTTCCGAAGCAGAAAATTCATCATCTTGACAAATATAAGAAAGGATTTTAATTAAGATGAATTCTATTAATCAGATTGGAATGGAAAATTATGATGTTTAAACAGATTTTAAAATTCTAATTTCATATTTAATCGATTCACTTTGTATATGTTAAACCTCAGAGAGAATGGTAACACGAGCACTCATTTCAATAAATACTAGAGATGGAGCCACTTATGTGTGTTTGATTACGTAATTTTTATGGAAATCATCTTAGATACAAAAGTCCATTTCTCAAACAATTGATCACTTCCATTGTTGTTCTGGGGAATGCATGAAGTACACGAGGAAAACTCGCCGGTTGATGCAAGAGAAAACATTCAGAACAGAAGAAGGTAGTGTATAATTCTTGCCTAGAATTAAATATAAAAGAATTTTAAATATTCTAATAGTAACAATCAATAAATGTTTAATCCCTTTCAGTAAGAAAAGTACCAAAAGTTGTTAAGCTAATTTTAATGTAAAATATTAACAATTAATAATGAATTACTATAATTGATTGTTCAAAGAACATCTCTCTTACACAGATCGTCCAGATGTGCATTTTCTTATTACAATCATTTTGTAATAAGAAAATGCAAACCTAAATGTTCTGTCGAATAGGGATGCCTCACAGAAAAGCTTTTTATCCCCGCACGGCAGATCGCACAAATAAAACTCTACAACGGGCTACGTAAACTGGCCGTATTTTGATTATAGGCATGCGACGAAAGATTCGGGAAAAACTATATGGGCCGTTAAACGATCGCGTACCCGTGATTAAATATCCTTCTTCAGTCGTTTTTTCCAATCTGGCATTGATATGCTGGCATATACAACATTATGTCAACAGACAATTTAGATATAGCGCATCATGAGCACTCAAATTTTAATTCAATCGTAAGAGAAAATTGTAAAACTTTGTTACTTAGAGAACTTTTAAGAATAAATAGCCAAATTTATTTATTACTATTTTACAAAGGGATTGTGTTCCAAACTCTCTTTGCTCATTCACTCACGCAGACAGAGAGGAGACAGCAGGATACATTACATTTTTTACATTTAGTGGAGCACTCCCTCTGACCTGTAGCATTAAATGCTACTGGCTCGAGGTACTCCTCTTTTAATTAACCTGCTTCGCATATGCTTTGCAGGTAGTTAAGATTACATAGTCGCGGTCGTAGCCGCAATACATTAATACCCGACAATTCTATTTTTTACATTAATTATATTTTTGTTGAGTAGAGTATTTGATGTCATTAATTTAACAATGAACTATGACAGAAATTTTTATGTTCTGTTTTTATAACAAGTTTTTATAAATTCATTGAAATAATAATATATGTTAACATTATTTATAAGGCTACTTTTCCTAATAGGCCAATCGTAACCTTCTTTGTTACAAACTAATTTTAACTCGTTTCTTACTTTTTCATATTGCATACAGTCAAATAAGATGTGTGTGGGTGTTTCACTTACCCCACAAATCTCGCAGTTTTCATCATCTCGATGATTAAATCTATAATGATATTTCGCAAAATCTCCATGACCTGTCACGAATCTTGTGAATTTGTGTCCAATTTGTAGATGTTTGTTATTTAACCTCTGGTTAATATCTGGTATGTATTCAAAGAGTTCCCTTCCTTTTGTAGTTATTTCCCACCGTTGTTGCCACTGTAATATGTATCTATTTTTGATTTCAGTTTTTATATATTTTGTAGATATTTTTCTGTATGATTCCTTTGTTTTTAGATAACTAGCCTCTTTAGCCAGACTGTCCGCTCTTTCATTTCCTTGGTCTCCAAAATGGGCTTTGACCCAGCTGAACACTAGCATATTATCACTTTTCACAATATTTCGTCTTATATTATCTATTAGTTCACTTTTATTGTTACCATCATTAAGAGCTTTTAATACAGCCTGGCTGTCTGTGCAAATAGTAATTTTTATATTTTTCTTCCTTTGACTTATCCAGTTAATTGCATGATCTATTGCTACCAATTCTGCTTGATAATTTGTGCATCTTTTATCTAACTTGATTTTTTTATGATACTGTTCCCTATTTCTATAGTAATAAACATACGACGCTCCCACTCCTTCTGAGGATCTTGATCCGTCCGTATAGATTCTGTATTTATCCCGATAGTTGTATTTCTTTATATGTATTTTCTCCCATTCATATCTTAATAATTTTTGGTGTTGTTTCATATCTGCTTCTAGCTCGTCCTCTTTTTTCAATAAATCATTATGAGTTTTGTTTTCTTTTAATATATTTCTTGTGTCACTATGCTGTCGAATTTCCAAATCCAGAGGCATTAGGCCCGCCAGTACACAGAGTGCATCGTGGGATGTAGTACAGTATGCTCCAGTAATTCTTAATAGCATTTTTCTTTGTAGGCTATTTATTTTCTGTTTCATGTGTGTCAACTCCATCCTCTTCCCCCAAATTTGGGCAGCATATGTAACAATTGGGATTACAGCACCTTTATAAATATGTGTTAAAGCCCTTCCACCTATACTCCATTCTTTACGTGCTACTTTCGCTATTTCTTGAAATAAGTTACCCACTTTTTTCTTAATTGTTTCTAGGTGTTCATTCCAGAAAAGTTTGTTGTCTATTGTTACTCCTAAATAGTTGACTTGGTTTACACATTTAATCGATTTATTTTGCATTTTAATTGTGGGTTGCCTTTTTGCCACTTTGCATGTTGTAAAGGCTATGGCGTTTGTCTTCTCTGGATTAAATTTAAGTTTGTTTGCATTTCCCCATTTCTCTATTTTATCCAGTATATTTTTGCATTTTATTTCTATTTGTTTTCTGCTTTTTGCCGAACAGATGACCATTATATCGTCAGCAAAAGCTGTTATTTTTGATTCTGATAATGTGTTGATTTTCAAGAGATCATTTAATATAATTGACCAAAAAATGGGTCCAGAACAGGATCCCTGTGGACACCCCATAGTCATGTCCCTTTCCATTTTTATGTCTGCGTATTCTATGTATGCCTTTCTGTTTGTTAGATAATCACATATAAGACGATACAAATTGTTTGGGCAATTTGCTTCCTCTAATTTAGCATGGATTAGTGACCACCATGCGTTATCAAAAGCACCTTCTATATCAAGACTGAGAGCAATTGTCCAGTTGTTATTTTTCCTCCCTTCTTCGATATTTTTAATTACTTTTGATATAGCATCTTCCGCTGAACGTCCTTCTTGAAACCCGTATTGATTTTCGTTAAACCATTTGTTTGAATTTAGCCAAGTTGTAAGACGATATACTATTAATTTATCCAAAACTTTTCCCAGAACAGGAAGGAGAGAGATTGGTCTATAACAGCAGGATAATAGAGAGGTTGAGGCCGAAGTTTTAAACGCGAAAACGTGTACGTCGGACGTTCGGCGCCGCATTCCTTAAAGCCTAAAAGTTTGGCAATGGTGTTTGGAATGTGGACAATGATTTCACTGACTACCCAAACACCATTGTCAAACTTCTAAGCTTACAGGAAAGCGGCGCTGAACATCCGACGTACACGTTTTCGCGTTTAAAACTTCGGCCTCAACCTCGCTAATGATACGAAAAAAAAATAAGTGACTGAGGTAAGATACCATCGAAAAAAAAGGTTACATCGTAACCTTCTAAAACTATAACGTATAATAGGATCTTTATTTAAACGGCTTTCCTCTTACTTCAGTCTGACTGTCTCTCCTCACTTGTTCTCCCTCGCTGTGCCTACTTGTTTAAATCCTTTGTGACGATTCAGCTATTCCCTTTGTAATCATTTCCATTTGTAACTTTTCGTATCACAAATAAATTTCTTTGCGATTCTAATCGAAGTACAATAGATAAGAAAAACTATATTTTACATTTTTTAACATATAATATCAATTATTCTAGTTTTAACATGGCGAATTACATAATTCGTAATTTTTTCACGTTTGTTTACAGGAACTCGGCAGAAATCATGAACGAACCTACATTCTGTTTCAATTGCTACATCTATCCTTTTACATATGTAACGAAAATGTTTGGCATAAAGATCATGCCATGGTGCTCAGAACTAGATACTGGCAGTAGCATGATTTTTCGAATTTATTACGCATTTCTTGTCTTAATATCGGTTCTGGGTTTGTTGTGGGGAATTTATGTTTCCGTTGTTGACGAAGAAACATGCGTCCAATATTGCGCAGGTTTCCTCTACAAAGTAAAAGATAGTAACGCAACAACGCTTTTCGGTAAAATGTTGTTGTTAGGGTTCATTTCCGCAATGACGTTTACTGTCATTCAAAATTATTTCAAAAAATATGTAAAAATTCAGACATTCGAATGTAATTATAAAGGCGAGATAGAAAAATTGCTAATGGTCAGAAATAGGGTTCAAAAAATCGTATTATTTCTATATGTTTGTGGATGCATAGTGCTATCCTTCGGTTTTGCTGTTGCCGGCTTGTTTCTTCCCATTCCGAAAAACAGATTAATTCTTTGCTCAGTATTTTATCAAATGGTGAACATCTGGGGCTTTTCAGTTGGCCTCCATGCCGGTGCAATCGCATTTCTCGCCTTGTATTTCATAACTTTAAAATTTGACAACATCCACAAGTCATTGATTGAGTGTAGACGTAATCCGCAAATCACGAAAATTGCTTTAACGATCGAAGAAAGAAAATTTGCCGAGTTATGCGAGATAACAGAGTATATTGATCACGAATTTGCTTACATTTTATCCATTGTTGCGTATTTTGTATTAAATCTTATAGCTTGTTCTTTGTATTTTGTCATGTTTGCCGGTCCAATTGATAAATTGATCGTTGGGGGTCGGGCATTAGCCATCACAATCTTATTCATCACTGTTATTCTAAACGTTGCTAATGTTCCTGCAAAGGTAAGCTGATGTTTTGAATGTTTTAATGAGTTAATTATGATTTTCTACTTTATAAGTAATTTTGTATTTATCATTGGAATGCATGAATATAGTGTATAATTCATGATACACACACACGCGCATATTAAAAATTAAAATAAATAGTGTCGTGCTCGTTGGTATTCATGTCGATAAATAATTAAATGCGAATTGAAAATATAATCACTTGTATTCGTACTTCTCACATGATATTCAAAAATTCGAAAGACCGTAATTGCTATAGACATAATAAAATTTAATGTTTTAATTGTGATCATAAATTAATTATAACAGTAATTTTATGTAATAGTGTTTATTTAATTAGTAAACTTTGTGTAGCATTTGAAATAGTAATATCACAAAACATGGAGTTAATTATCTAAGCTAACATTTACACTTCTCAGAGCAATGTATAATAAAAACAGTATCAATAACACAACACAATGCGTCAAAGAAATGATGGTTGCTGCATAGATAATTCTCTGTTAAAAAAATAATTTTATGTTGTTGTTTTTTTTGTATTTTTGAGGTAATATGTTGCAGTAACAATACATCTACTAACAACTAATAGTTTCCTAAATGAGACAAATGGCTGAAAGTGCAAATAGTTGTAAATTAAATAAAACTGAATAAAAATAATAGAATGATTTGAAAGACAACGAACAAAAACAAAAATTTTTCAAATTTTTTCATAAGCATTATATAGAAGGGATTGAATTAATAGTTTCATTGTATTTCAATCTTTTCCATGCGGAAACACATGTATGACTCATAATCCCACATTACCTACATCAGCCTTCGATTTTTCTGAAACGTTAATATTGGCTATTTTTTATCCGTATGTACTGCAATATTATTTTTCTTGTATTTTTCACCAGAAAAGTTCTAATTTATACCTTCATTTAACAATAGGTAGCATGTTAGGTAAATAATTAACAGTATGAATTATAGGTAGTGAGAAGCAGCACGATCTTCTATTNTTATGATGACTAAATCATATGCCATCGAGGTAATTTAAAATTTTTATTTAATATAATTTCATACTTTAGTTGTTAATTAAATGTAATTAATACACACATGGTCTTGAATTTTTGTAAAAAGATTTTCTTCAATATTCAACAGATACACCCTAATACGGCGCTGAAATTTCGTAATGTATAATATTGCGTACGATTTCTAACAAATTTTAGTTGTAAACAAATCTTCGACAGGTGAAGTAATCGCGGCACTTCATACTTGGTAAACTCATCCGGTCACGAAAAGATATGCCCTCTTTGAACTTAACGCAGTACTAGGAGAAAATTCTTAGATACAGTTTGACACACGAATGACCCACTAGCAATAAGACAAGTCCTCAGTTTACGGCTCGATTTTGTCTCAATTAGGAACCATAAAAGGATTTATTAATATCGGATAATATGACGATTGTCACGAAGAACTCTGTAAGAAGACTTTTGTTCAGCTGACGATGCTTCACCTCGCCATTTTTAGACGTTTAATTTGTATAGGAAAAATTTGCATAAATTTTCTTATTGTACCAAAACTTAATAATCGTTCAAAGACTTGTATTAAAAAGTATTAAACTAAAATTTGAACATCTTCGAAAATTTTACAGATAAATTTTGAACTTTTAAATTCATAAAATTTAACGATAGACTAATTTTTGAACAGAAAGTAGTCATATTGACTTACTGTTGTATAAATTTCTAACTATGAGAATTCGTTTTCGTTTAATTTTCGTATTTGTAAATAAGTAAAGATAAGATAATTTATGTAAATGCATTCTTCCTATATCTAAATGTGTACTTTTATTTTCTTATAGTTAATGAGTTCGATTTGGAGTGCATTCTCAACACTCTTGGAATTCAGAAAAGTGATGTCAGACGAATACATTTCTTCAATCTGCAACCAGACACTTTTGGATAACATTTAAAACTGGAAGGGAGACAATAACATTTATAATTAAGTCAAATAATGATTGTTGCCTCTTCTTTACAATGACTAATTATAATGTTCAGAAATAAGATTACAAAATACACGATTTAACATTGTACACGTCAATTTAACACTGTTATATGAAGAAGCAAATCTAGGAAACTTATAAACTTATTATTATATTAATAAGTGATCAGTAAGTAATAATTTTTAGTTCGTTACTTAATGAACTAATAGTTATCACTCGAATCACTTAATCTGAAGGTAGTCTGTTTATTTGTAAACGAGTTTTAGTTATATACTACACGTAACATTAGTACAATTAGTGAATGTATAGTCTAACATGTAACTATAACGAGTGCTAGCTAATATCAAACTTCAGTGACTTTACTGTTAGATGAGTAGACACGCACAATTCACTAAATTTTTATTCTGTAACTAAAACTTTTCTGTTAACAAACGAATGTAGATGTTATTGCTAGGTATATTTCGAATCATAAATAAAAATCGTTGTTTAAATTGTAGTACAGTACATTTGTTGCTTTTTTTATTTTTATTTTCAAATAAAATAATTAAATATTATAAACCAATTAAAAGGAAACAAATTAAATTATTCAATTATTACCCACTTGTTATAGTAATTTATATTTATTAAGTTTTCTCTTTCTCATAAAAGCTTTGTTCATTTTTATTGCGGAAACGTCAGTATTTCTAAATAAAAAGCGTTTCTCTGTGAAGTATAATGTATAAGAAAAAGTTTATAATGTATAGATTTATAATTATGTATAAGTGGTATGCTTATAATTCTAAATACTTTCCAACTACAATCATGTAATATTAACGTCAAAAGACACCCAATTTTATAGAAATTCTAGTATATTAAACGTTTTCAAAGCTGAATATAGCAAAGCTAATAAACATCTTCCTTCAATTTAAAACCAATTTATCCTGAAAGTTATTGCAAATGTAAAAAAATTTGTTTTGAAATTAATCCTTTTTACTAGTGTCTGAATCAATTTCGCTCAACAAATATCAATTTGTTGGGCGTGTCGTTCCAACAACACATTAAAATACAATTCCGGAAAGTCCAAGTTCCAGAAATGACAAAAACTTGCGTCAAATTTAAGCACAGACACAAGCGGAAACACAAGCCGGGAGAGTCCAAATTCGAGTAAAGGCACGATTCATCAAGAATTTTTAATATTTGCCATGTTGAAAATTTTATCCGTTGCGTGTCGCTTCGTGATGAATTTTCGTCCATGTTAAGCAAAACGTAAATTATTTAAAATAATAATCCAGGCTGTTGTATCATTAAAAATTATTTCTTTATTTTCTACAAACGAAATAAATATATTGAATTTATCGAACTTTTCGTCTTAATGTTCGATATAATATTTATAAAATTTGGGGAAATCCAGCATATTTTTCGAATTTTGTATACCTGGAAAAGAACCCAGAAGGGGCTACAAAAACGTTTCTTATTAATCATTTAGCGGTTAGTGGTTGCTGCCAACCGTAATTATCGTTACCCCCAGTGTGGTAAGCGGATAGGTAAAAATTTTATACTTAGTATCGAAACTCGGTGAAAACGGCTATAATCTACAAACCTTAATTTGTGCTATCGTTACATTTTTTCCGGGCACATCTGCTAGTTCACAATAACAGTATTAGCAACAGCCCCGAACCTCGAGTACAGTATTTATGGGTCGTCGTTGACCAACGCCTGGCTTAACCCGCAACAAACTCGCTAAATAAAGAGGCCTTCTTAGTGCACAGAGGAGCGAGTAAAAAAAATAAATAAATAAAACCCTCGGAGTGGCAAGTGTTAACTGTTTCTCTAAAATTACCTTTCTTAAAAAGAACGCGCTTACAAAAGAATAGAAAAAGATTAGATCTGCAGAAACTGTTTTATTTTTGCAAACATTATGTTTTTACAAATTACATATGTTTTATTCTTTATCGAGGCATTTTTAAACACACTTTTAATGACATTTATATAGGTCCAAAAACATATTTTAATGTGTGCGACTATCGCTTGGATGCCGTAACAATTACTATTAATGTTTTACAAATATAAATATACAACAATTTATAATTGTGATTAAAATTATTAATTAATATATTAATAATCAATTAATTTATCAAACGTTTTATGTATAAAAAATTTGTTTTCCAATTAATCTTTTTACTTGTATCTGAATAACAAATATCAATTTGTTGAGCGTGTCGTTCGAATAACAAATTAGAACACGATTCCGAGAATTCAAGTTCCAGGGATGAAAAAATTAGAAGTCAAATTTGAGCGCAGACACAAGCCGGAAGAGTCTAAATTCCAATATACACAGGATTCTAGAGTCAAATTCGAGATAGACGTAATTCGAGAAAGTCCATATTCGAGTGCAGACACCATTCACCAGTCAAATCTGGGGTTGACATAGTTCGGGAAATTCCAATTCGAGTACAGGCACAATTGAGGAGTAAAATTCGGGAGAGTCCAGATTCGTGAAGTAGACATAAATCGAGAGTCCAAATTCGTGTAGACCAATTCGGGCAAATGGTAATTGTCTAAAAGACAATAATAAGGAGACACAGCCGGGACAAAGTCACAATTGGCAAGTCATAATCGGAATTTGCATTCATGCAATCGGAATGTCAAAATCAGGAGAAGTCATCGATGGTTTGCAGAAAAAACCATATCTAAAAGTGAATGAAAAACCAATATTTTAATTTTTACTTATAAATTGAAAATTATTTTTGCAATTTTTAGGAGCTTTTTAGATTTTATTTATTAATTTTTAAACTTTATCATTTCTTTTTGTTATTCTTTGAATATATTTAAATGAAAACAAAATTAAGAATATTATTTTCTTATAAAATAAAAATAAACTTACGTGCCAAATGATATTGCTTACGGCAATTAATTGCATACTGCCACCTGTCATGTATGTATGAAATATGTCATTGTCAATTCCATTATTTTAACATGTTCCTGTCCGCGTAATAATGTAAAATTACTGGATAATTTAATTTCTACATTCATTTATACTACTGCTTTCGCTATGTCAAGAGACCAGCAACTTACACCCTACGATGTATTTTAATGTGAGTACTTAGACAGGAATATACAAGCTACGTATGCCCGATACCCTAAAAACCTGGGTTTTCTGTAGGTACGATCTCAATCGCATCAAAATATAACCACGCTAATATCGTACATAAGTATATTCAGTTTTTCTATTGTCCGGCCATTAATTGCGAGTTTTTACGAAATTGTGTTAATTTATAAACCGAGACCGTAAAATCTCCCAAGTGTTTGGTGTAGAATACAATATACACTTACACAAAGCCAACACGGCTCAAATATATGGCAAATCACAGAGCGGGATCTTATTGTCGATGGACAGAGGGAAGCCAAGAGATCATTACTCGAACCGAACGTACTCTCATTCTCCACTTCTGGCCATTTTACACACCTTCTGCACGGATCTAAATGTAGAAAAAAAGTATAATTATTCATCTAAAACGTATAACTCCATTTGAATTGCATTAAAACATATTGCGGCGCTGTAAATGTTGGCCTACAAAGAACGAAAGTTGGATTATGAAATTCATTGGTTCGGTGACGTTTTGAATTCAACTTTTCATCCAATCAGTAATGACACGGACGAATAGGCCGATACAGCGCCGAACAATACGGGAAAGTCATGCGATTCGCAAACATTTCCAACTCAATCTTAATGCTATAAAAATTTTTGGCATAATCGATACTTGGGATTAGCGATTTATTTCCAATTTCAGAGGGTAAATCGTACAAAATCTTACCTCTTAACCGGTTTCCACACGCTCTTAAAGAACGACCCGACTTTCTTCAATGTATTTCTATCCCTGGAATGGCCAGGATTACCTCGCACGCAGTCTTCGTGCTCTGCCGGGTCTTCGTCCGCTTTGGTGTTTCGTGGAGGAACCGCGCTTACTCCTTCATCCTCCACATTTTCGACCAATCTCTCACTAAACAAGCAAAGAAATATAATAAATATATAATTTTGTAATTGAATTACGATGAATAATTATAAATGATAACACTTGGAAAACATTTTTTAAAAATTTTCCACGAGGGTAAAAAAGGATTAAACTTATTACTATTTATTGAAAAATTAAAACGATGATTTATCGTATTTCTCAGAATAACCCCCTCGTTAAACAGCTCATACATACAATATACACGAGTTTATTACATAGAAACAGTAATGTAATTTACCTGTTAAAACGTTGGCAGGCCGTCTGACAGATTGGTAGAACCTTCATCACAGCTTTTCTATAAGCGGACTTGATGTTATTTTCAAAAACATCTAAACCTTCGAAAGCACCGGTCGAGGGTTCGAACAGGCCTTTCTTCATCTTGCTGCCTCGAAATTTAAAATAATCCAAATTTTGTGGAATGACGAATCTTCGCATATCCACATCCTCCCTAAATATGCAAAGAGAAAATAACTATTTAATTCTACTATCAAACTACATTACATCCCCGTGCTTTTAAGTTTATTCGACAGAAGGAAAGGGCCTTTTATAAATCTTTTTCTGTTATTTTAAAAAAAGACATATTGAACATATTGAAACCAAGTTGGGATTAAAATTTTAGTAAATTTCGTCATATTAACGAACTAATCCGTGAGATAAAAGAGGCCCGATTACTCGCTTAAATAACAGTAAATTGAAAAGCCCTAAATTATCTTCGGGGCCCCTTTTCGAGGTCTTATAAAGTCCTCTATTGCAATACAACAATACAGGAAGACACAAAAATCTTTACATTTAATCTAATTAGGCCTAATTATATATTGTAGATGGAAGTTTTTCTTTAAAGTTTTTAATTGCTAAAACCAAGTTCTTATCCGAATAAATAGTAATGAAATGTCTCTTACCCAGGAGAATGGGGCAGGGATCGATACTCTACCGCCAAAAAGCATCTTCGAATCGCTTTCCAAATCGCACTCTTCTTATTAACAAGAGCAAAAGTACGCAACAACGACAACTTCAATTGTTGAATTCGTTTGTTACGCGTTAAACCAAAAAAGCGGAAATTTAATGAACAGGTTAAGATTTTTTAAAATATAATTTCAGAATCTGTATAATAAAAAGCCACGTCACACCGGTGTGGGGATAGGAGTTAGAATAGGGACAGTTCGATATGGTGGTGCTGAAGTGATGTCGGCACGAAATACAAAGATGTAAATGTAAACATTTGGCGTTAACCAAAACCGTACACGAGAATATAACGAAATTAAAGCAAATACTTGACGAAAATACAACCAGAACTTGATATTTATACCGTAATATCGGGAGAGATGATTACTTAATTGCCATTTCTAGAAATGATTCTATATAGGCCTACATAATTAGAAAACAAACCGGGCATTGTAACGTGGATCTGATTAATCACACCTGCAGAATAACTATTTAGTCGAGAACTTCAATACTGTATTAATTAAACTGATGGGTAATGTCACCAGGAAAGTCGTGCTAAAATTCCGTTTGTTCTCTCCAAGTTTTTATATGCTTAATTTAATAGAAAATCGGCTGAAGATTTGTAAAGTCGTGGCAAATCTTTCTTACCAGAAGTGCTTGAATTTATAACTACAACAACACGTTTATTTTTTATTGCAAGCGAAGACTCAAATCAAACAGGTGCAGTCATTTAAAGAAATAATCGTATTGTCTAAGATGCACTTCTCGTTAGCTATGGGATTATACTTGGGAAACGTTTTTATTTACTCTTATTTTTACCAAACTCCCAGTGTTTAAATTTGGTCACCGCCGCTAAGAGTGGAGACAGAGTCCATTCGGCCACTTTTGAGCCATTTTCCACTTTTCAAACAATAACTTACCACCTTTTCTATCATTTCCAATCATGTAATATTATTGAATCATCCCGTTTTTTTAAGTTTTTGCCATAATATAAACACGATGTAAGTGCAAAAGTAACTTTAACAGCAATAAGACTTTTAATGTAAAACGACTTTATAATAACTTATGGCAAATATCGGGTGGGCAGCTTATTGGGTACGTGCAAACTTGCAATTAATGCTTAGTGGTTGAAATACGCTACTATAAAATTAAATAGCAACATCACGAAGGAGTGCGCGTAGCCACCTGCACATTTCAGAACCAGAAATGTAACAGAAATATGCAAATGATTAAAAAACAAAGATATCCCATGGACACCTGTTTATTCAGTAACCAATATAGACCTGACACTGCTACTCAGCGAGACATACTATTAATGAGGCAATTAATGGTTTCCCGAAGTACCCCCTGCCAAGCTGTGTCTACTGCAACAAGCATGTAGACTACAGTATGTGGCGGTGCTCTCCAGTTCACCTCAGGTTAGACGAGGTCCCACAGGTTGTCGACAGGAAAGAGGTACGTACAGCGAGGCTCCTGACCAGGAAAGGATATGAATTTCGTTCCTGCTGGAGAGAGTTCGTCGTGCGATATGCGATCGATCATTGTCTTGCTGGAACAAAGTGTTGGGTGTGACCTGCTCCAGTGGTCAAACATCAGCCAACACCTGATACCAGTCAATCGTCTAACTGTGACTTTACTTCAGACATGCATTCCTGTGTTTAGTGGTTAATGGCATTTCTGTTGCCGGTTGTCGTGCGACCAGCTCGACTTCGACTTCGTGCAACTGTTGCGAATGGTTTGGTAGACAAAGATGCCTCAGTTGACAGCGAGGGATGGCCACGATTCTCAAGTACCATTGCGTAAAAGGATCCTGACAGGCCGCATGGTGGATGTGCTGGTCTGTGTGTTTTGTAAGAGTATACTGTCAGAAAGTTTGGCGTGATAATCTATGAATTTTTCTTTTACGTTGCTAAAATTAACGTAACAACTGTCTGGGCTCTTACATGAATTCTCTGAAACTTATCAGAATAAAATGTTAAATTTATACGTGCAATTTTTTTATGAGATTTTATAAAAAATTCTCTTTCTATCTTTAATTATTAAAAATGGCAAAAAGCTTAATAATTTTGAAGGTAAAGATAAGTTCTATAAAAATTATAAATCCTTATAAGAGATAAAATCTTCGTTTAAGTCTGGCTATGCTCGAAATATTCGTGAAATCCGTCTCTACTCCACCCCTCACCATTAAAGCAGCATCGCTGTCACTTATACGCAAGCAACCATGCCAAATTTCAATTTTTCATCATTACAGTGTTTTGAAATAATAAACGAAATAAATTTCAATACACACACATCCACGAATTTTTTTTCGATTTTTATAAATTTGGCAATAGCTCAAAGGCTCAAATTTCACACGATCCCAACACTCTTATTTTGTGTTTTTTATTCCCCGTTATGTATATGTTAAGCTAAAAGAACGTAAATGCTTATTCAGTGAAAAGAACGTTAACAACGCGTTGTGATCTATTTAAGTCATCCACTGCGTGATATTTGTGTTTCGGCACTTGTAAAAACAGCTACAACGCGTTGTGACTAAATTAAAAAGTCCACAAAGAGAAATTCATGTCTTGGCTTTCATTATATTTGACCACTACGCGTTACGGTGATTAAGAAAAGTCATATCGCATTCTGAACGTTCGCTGATGCAACCACCATACGACGGACAGATTGTAACTTGTCAACGATCTCATTGCAATCACCAAAGAGTTTGTGTTGTGTTTATTCTTGACTGTCATATTTGAGTGTGAACGTTTGTGCGATAATTATAGCTAGTAATGAGAACGTATTTTATGATAAATTAAGTGAGTTAATGAAGACAAGTACTGATCGCAGTTTTTTTCATTAGTGACGAACAATACGAACGGTTACTTCAAGAAACGAAACAGGCACAGCTTCTTAAAAAAGCAATCAATCTCTATCGACAAAGCAGTATCGTCGTCTTAAACGATATGATGTGTTTAAAATTGGTGACCGAAAAGTTGATTAAAGGTGGATCTGATAGCATTTGTGATTCAAAAATCTGTTATTTTCGTATTGCGAATGAACTACTTGATATTTTGAAAAAAGCATATACTAGCTTAATAAAGCATAAAAGATAAGTAGATTGTTTGAAGGAATTGAGACATTTTTACTTTGTTTTGTAATTTTTGTTAGCACTGCAGAGTGGGCCGAAAATGATATTTGAGTGTCATAAATTCACATATTATTACTATGTTAAATAAGACAGACTTCTTTTTTTCATTTTGACAAAAAGCACTACGTATAATTGACGATGTTTGACTGACTTTTCTCAAATCTATCTTAATTTGGATTGTTTTTGAAATAGCATTTACAAATTACGATTACTGTTATTATTATTTTGAATAATTGAAGCAAGACAAGTAGCATTTAAATTTATAGGACACTAAATCAGTGAATTAAAAATGAAAAAATTAATTTATTTCCTGGAAATTTACTTTCTGAAGTATTTTCATTTAGCAATGTAAATGCACATAAATTAGGAAAACCTAAGTAATTAAGATTTTTATAAAATGATTAATTAATTTTTGCAAACATTATAAGACCGACCAAACACTATAAATAATGTATGAAAATGGTTTATGTGCTATCCTAACAATTATAATTCAAGGACATAAGTAATTATATCTACATAACAAATATAAACATCCATCCCAAGAAATTGCACGTCATCCCCGTGCTTTTAAGTTTATTCGACAGAAGGAAAGAGCCTTTTATAAATCTTTTTCTGTTATTTTAAAAAAAGACATATTGAACATATTGAAATCGAGTTGGGTTTAAAATTTTAGTAAATATTAACGACCTAATCCGTGATATAAAAGAGGCCTGATTACTCGTTTAAATAACAGTAAATTGAAAAGCCCTAAATTATCTTCGGGGCCCCGAACTGTGCCTTATAAAGCCCTCTATTGCAATACAGGAAGACACAAAAATCTTTACATTTAATCTAATTACGCCTAATTATATATTGCAGATGGAAGTTTCTCTTTAAAGCCTTTAATTGCTAAAACCAATTTGTTATCCGAATAAATTGGATTGAAATGCCTCTTACCCAGGAGGATGGGGCAGGGGTCGATACTCTCTACCGTCAAAAAACATCTTCGAATCGCTTTCCAAATCGCACTCTTCTACGCAACAACGACAACATCAATTGTTGAATTCGTTTGTTACGCGTTAAACCAAAAAAAGCGGGAATTTAATGAACAGTTTTGGATTTTTTTTTATTATAATTTCAGAACCTGACTTTCAAAATTTGAATTATCAGAATTAGATCAGAATTATGTTCGTTAACCGATCACCACTGTATTCAACGCCACGCAAACCTGATGTCGGCAGCTATTGAATTACCGCTAGTTCTTAGTGTAAGCTTAAATTTTACATTTTTATTAGAAACATGTCTTATAAAACCAGTTCAGATGAATATCGTAGTAGTGGTTACATGCCTTGATAGAAAGAATGCTTTTTATAAGTGGTCTGAAGCTGTATTTGAAGTATACGAAAACACGGTGCATCGAGATGGTTTCTGTATTCAGCTGTTTCATTTACGTTCCTTATGGAAATTTCAGAAAATAATGGTTAAAGAAATTGAACTGAAAAGACTGTATACATTTTCACGGTCATAAGAGAACTTTCAAGTTGACATGGCGCAAAGATTGTTTCACTTGTAATTTATTTATCAATTGGTTTTAAGCTGATGACACAAAAAAAAGTACTTTTTATGATTTGGTTAATGATCGACAAGAATTGTATTATTATTTACAAACCCTGAGATAGACCAACAGCACGACGATGCATGTAAAATTCGAAAATTATAGTGGACATACACTTTTTTATAAAGTTGTACTATTGTTCCGGTTGCAAGAAAACTGGAAGCATTTCAGATCAGAGTGCTCAGTAAAACAATTACCAATACTGACAACGTACTTCATACCAATATACAAATATCCAGAAATGACATTGAAAACGCTATAAATTATATAGATAAGAAAGGACGGCCCACCTGTGGCAGAGCGGTTCCGTTGATGAACACTGGGAGTTCGGTCGTGGGTTCGCGTCTGGCAAGGAGAAGTTGTTCACGTAGAGTTTTCCGGTTTTTATCCACGTCTGTAACGTCTGAATACAGGCATTCAAAAAACTCCCCGGAAGGCATTTCTGCCTCGTGTAATATCGCGTATCCAGAGAAAGCAATGGGAAACTACTCTGGTATTGACATCACTTTGCGCGCAAACTGATCCATACTAACCTGCGCCGAATGTTCGCTGACATCAGGATTGACCTAACGTGGCATAAAAGAAAAAAGAGCAATCGACTAGACTGAGTTACGTTGGATTTAATCGAGTAATAAATCTTGAAGACAGGATTTTAAATCAATTATTCTCTCTCGGTCGAATTATATCAGTCCAAGAGACAAAAGCATTTCGATTGAATAATCGATTTTTAGAGCATTTATTCTATAGAAAGTCCTCCCACTTTATTCCTTTTGGTTATAATATTCATGTTTTGGGTAGATCCTCTCTCATCAAAACCTATAAAAATATTAAACGTTCGAATATTAATGGGGTAATTAAATATAGTGAACTGCTATTCTTAAATATAGATAACTGTAACAGTCAAGAAGAAAAAAAAAACACAATATTCTTTCGCATGCAAAAAATAATCGATAATGTTTTATTATTTAGGTATCTTTCCGACCAGATGGAAGAGCTTAGTGCAATGGCATACGAAAGTAATAGGGTGTGGGGTATTCCTCGATTTCTGTATATGAAACGACACCAGTATTACAGCTTTATATAATCATATTAAAAGTCCATACTTCAGTTATAAGCAGTCAAATATATCAGAACTTTCAAAAGGTGTTGATATAGAAATAGAACACTTGAAAAGCATATTAAAGGCAGACACAGTGCTAAGCGACACTAGTCCGCCTTTAATGTGTTTGGGAATTATTTAGTGCTTTGCAACTAAACTAACATAAAATCAGAACAAAGGTAAAATGAATAGAAGAATCAAACTCATTATCATTAATAGACAGTTTATTGCATAGTTTCGTGTATATTAGAACATTTTTGACTCTTAGTTAGAAACTCTTCAATCATGTCATCAAAAACAATTTCTGCAATTTATCATTGGTAATAAATATCAGCCCTAAAACTAACTGATTCTTTTGCTTTAATCATTTCGATGAATAAAAAATACTTTTCTTAAAGGGAAGCCCGATAATAAGGACCAACAAAAGTTCACCTTATCGTTTTGTATTATTTAATTGCTCTCCACATCAAATTAGTAATAGCATGCCCCTATTCATGAATCTTTTCTTTAACAATAGAGCCATGTTGGTCATCCATCTAACTCCATTCTGAAGATTAAGGAAAGACAGACAGACTGATGGATGACAGTGAGCACATAAAATTACCATTTTTACAATTGTTGCCAGGGGCTTTTAAAACCACTGATTCGAACGTCTTCGTATAATGATGTAATGACTTATGTAATGATGTGAACTCAAAGTTTACATTACTACGTAACTCACAGAACATTATACATACCGGCGCTATTTAATTGAAGGCATTACAGTTATGTTTCATTAAAAAATTTTGAATCGTTCTAAAATAGGAACCAAATATCTTCTATCTAAAGATATTTCCCGAATAGTCTGCATATCAGTAAATTTACATAAGTGAGATTTAAATAGCGATTCTTTATCGATCATTTACATTTATTGGTTAAAAGACATACCAAGGTCACAATCGCACTTGTTTCATTAATGCAACACACCCGCACGATTGCGTCACAAATAACTGGAGACAGAAGTCTTTTATCTTACAAATTCCTGAATTGGATGCCAATTCCAGACTTTTCAAAAAGGTAATATATTTAAAAGTAAGCTAATTTATTTCTTTTGAAATGTTTTTAGATTTTTCGAATTGTTCAGAATCAAAAATATTGCATTACTAGTTTTTTTATTATTGCATTATTGTTTATTATACTCCGAATTCAATTGTTTTGAAAACCACTCAATACCGGTACTGGGAAACGGGTTTGCTCCTCAAAAATGAGTTAGTTTTGAGGACGTTTTTTGATATTCTCACGTCTGTAACTCATTATATTCATCAATTAACACTTATATATAGTCATCTTCATATTTAAAGTCTTTCTGGGATGCAATTCTTTTGACAGATAGCCCATGTGTTGCGTTGCTTTATTGCATCAATCTACTCAGATTTCAATTCTTGTAGAAAATTACAATTTTTGTATTATTTTTTAATTTATTTATCGAACGATAGGCAAAAGTGAGAAATTTCGTAAATTATGAGGTATGGGAGCTGATTCGAATTCAGAAATAACAGAGTTACAATAGAGTTCTGAGTTCCAACTTAAAATCTCTCTTGCACAGAAAAAAAATGTGTTGGAATCGAAGCACCTCCTTCGATCGCAGTTGAAAACCAAAATAAATTACAGAAAAATTTCATATTTAAAGAAAAATAATTCAATTGAAACAATTTATGTCTCAATTGGACGGTATGTTAGTCTTTGTAACACAAAATAAATAGAAGTAGAACACAAGCGATTGTACCAATCAACTGGGAGATTTAAATTACTTTATGTTTACATCATTTGCTATAAATGAATTGGCGGCATCCATGAAAGTAACTAAAAATAAACGTGCTTTTTATTATTACCAAAAATGGTTATAATCGAAAAGGATGATTAAGTATTGCGTTTATATTTCACTAGTTATTTTTCTTGATTATAACAATTATTTTAACTAACACATATTTGGTTAATGTACAGGTTGTTAGTATTGATATTATATAAGTATAGTGCTATGATGTAGTCTGCATTAAACCAGTAAATTAAGCTATTATTTGACACTAGAGCAGGATAATCTACTACTATGTCGTGTTATATTTTGTAGCTAAATGACCACTCTGTATGGAGACGACTGTGATGCATACTCAATAAGGTATAACAGAATCTTTGTTTATATGAAAATCCTGATATTGTAACAGAAATTAAAAGAGGGAGATTTCATTGGATTGGGCATTTAGAACAGATGGAATTTGAGAGAAAAGTGTATCAGGTATACAGAGAAAGGCCAGAGAGAAGAAGTCCGAGAGGGAGAGCAAGAAAGAGATGGGAAGAGAATGTGGAAAATGATTTGAGAAAGATGGGTGTAAGTTGTGGGAAAGGAAAAGCCCAAGATAGAGACGAATGGTTGAAAATCCTAGATGAGACCGAGGTCCTTAAGGGACTATGAGTGACGACGAGAGTGAGAGAGAGTAAGAAGATCGTTATTTAAACGGCTTTCCTCTTACTTCATTCTCATCGTAACTTCTTCCCACTCGTTCTCCCTCGTTGTGCCTACAAACAAGTAGGCACAATGTAGGAGAACGAGTGGGAAGAAGGGTAAAATGTGACGATTCAGCGATTCCCGTTGTAATCATTTCCATTTTTAACTTTTCGTATCACAAAGAAATTTCTTCACGATTTTAATCGAAGTACAACAGATAACAAAAACTATATTTTACATTTTTTAACATATAATATCAATTATTCTACAGTTTTAGCATGAGAATTACATAATTCATAATTTTTTCACGTTTGTTTACAGGAACTCTTCAGAAATCATGAACGAACCTACATTCTGTTTCAATTGCTACATCTATCCTTTTACATATGTATTGAAAATGTTTGGCTTGAAGATCATGCCATGGTGCTCAGAATTAAATATTGGCAGTAGCGTGTCTTTTCGAATTTATTACGCATTTGTTGTCTTAATATGGGTTCTTGTTCTCTTGTGGGGAATTTATGTTTCCATTGTTGACAAAGAAACATGCATCCAATATTGCGGAGGATTCCTCTACGTAGTAAAAGATAGTAACACAACAACGATTGTCGGTAAAATGCTGTTGTTAGGGTTCGTTTCCTCAGTGGTGATTGTCGTCATTCAAAATTATTTCAAAAAATATGTAAAAATTCAGACATTCGAATATAATTATAATGGCGAGATAGAAAAATTGCTAATGGTCAGAAATAGGATTCAGAAAATTGTATTATGTATATATGTTTGTGGAAGCATAGTGCTATCCTTCGGTTTTGCTGTTTCCGGCTTGTTTCTTCCCA